AGAGAGAGAGAGAGAGAGAGAGAGAGAGAGAGAGAGAGAGAGAGAGAGAGAGAGAGAGAGAGAGAGACAGACAGACAGAAGACACACGGAGAGATTCTTTGTTCTAATTTTCATAGCCCCAATCTAATACAGAAAACGCTATCATGCTGAGAACATAGTTTGCACGTAGGATTGACAACATCTTTCAGGAAAAGGTTTCTCACAGAAATCATATTTATGTTCAAATTAATATGACTCTAATGAACAAGGACAGATTTTAAGTAAGCAAAATATATTGGACACAGAAATTCATTGAAATAGCAAGAATGCATAGGACAATGGTGAAGAACCACTATATGTGTATTCAGAGACAGATAGATAGGGGATGTATGTAGGTAGGGATGGATGGATGTTATAGATTGATAAGAAGGTATACTTGACTACTTGACTATGTTTACTCTGATAGTTTCTTTTCTCTTCTTGTATTTTAGGGCCCTTCCATGAGGAGAATTGGGTAGTTAGCATCATTGAAGGACTAGTAAATCTATGATATGAAAAGCTTTTTACCATTCGTCAGCCACTAAAATGCCTATACTCTAAAAAATAAAACATAATACATTGAACATAAAAAGAAAAGGATAAGAAACGGTAACATTACCACATCCACAGGTGAACCTATACAAACTGCAAAGAAACCAGCACCAAGGCCAGCCAGGAGATGAGTAAAAACATTATCTGAAAACCCTGGAATCTTCAAAAGTGTCTGCAATTACAAAAGTAGACCAAGATAATTTAGATGAATTACAGGTATAGTACCCAACTTAGAACATAGGAAATGATAAAAATGGAAGCTGATAAAAGTCACCTCTTTCACTTGATCATAGCTGGCTAGTTCAGCAGCATTTATTATAGCATTCCGTGCAATATTTGGCCCCAGCCCAGTCCATAGAGCCCCCAGTCCTTCCTAAATGGATTGTGAACGAAGATAAACTTTGAGAATATGTTTGTGTGTGTGTATTCATATACATATACATGTACATACATACATTTAGAGATTTTAGAACCCTAACCTGTCTTATAATGGTCGAATAAGCATTCAAAGCTCCAGAGTAACGCCTTGGTACTCCAGGTGGTAGCTTTCCTTCAGCTTGAAGTCGAACTTTCACAAGATCAGTGGGATTGGCCACAGTTATCGCTAAAGCACCTGCATGAGGACATCAAATGAGTAGCGCAGACCATAGTTTTGACATGCTGCACAATAGAACCTTAACTTTCATGTTATTTAGAAAGAAACAGAGATATCACAATGTTCGAACCAGAAAAAAGGAACCATTAAGCATCTTAGTAATAAAGTTGCTAGAGCATTAAAAAGAAACTAGTTGACCTCAATCCTTGGAATGACAAATGAATCTAACCTGTTGTAAGTGCAGCTAGTATTTTCTTAGTCAAAGGAACATCTCCAACAAAATCGCTCCCAACATAGAAGTTCTTAACCTGCTCAGAAGGTCATCATAAAACGAACAGCGCCATTAAATTTTATACAAATGAATATAAGAGACCTCAAAACAGTTGTATATTCAGTCTTCAAGTTTTTAGTTCATTCTAACCTCTAGACCAGTGCAAGAAAAATTGAGAACGGTTAACCAGACATGGGCGGGAAGCGGTTCAACAGGCCTAAGCAGTAAACCGGCCGGTTCAACCATTCTAACCAGGCAAGTCCCGGGCGGTCTAAAAAGTGTTAAAAAAAAAATAAATAATACAAATAAAAGCTAATAAAATATGAAAAGTATATTTAAAGAATCATTAAAAAAAGCACATCCAAATGAAGTTGAAAATTAATGAAAAAAAATGAATTTTAAATAATCGATTTGAGCCCAAGGTTATTTTTAAAATTTTCTCAAAAAATGGGAAAATGAAAAAATAAATATTAATGACCAAAACAATTTCCAATTTTTTCCATAATGATGAAAAACATTAAAAAATACATTACAAACAAAATCTCTTATTTTTTGGGATTTTACATAATTTTTTTTAAAAAAAATTAAAAACACTAGGCCAAAACAATTTCCAATTTTTGCCATAATGATGAAAAACATTTAAAAAAACATTACAAAAAAAATCCCTTATTTTTGGGGATTTTACATAATTGTTTTTAAAAACACCCTGCCGGTCACCTACACCGGCCGAAACCTTCTAACCCACCGGTTACTAGTTAGAAAGGCCGATTTTTCCAACAATGTTCTAGACCTCAAGATTATTCTGGAGGACAATTCAGAGTTAAGGCAAGAGTCTTGTTGATCAGATTAAGATATTTGAAAGAAGTCACTGAAAGAAAAGGTTATATAACCATATAATCCATCCAATTAGGTGCAAAAAAAATTGACTGCAAAGACACAAAGAAAGTAGCATGAATCAGGACAGCCAGCTTCAGCCAGTCCAGGCCAATCGGAAAAAGGAAACCCCTTGTATATATGAAGGCCTCAAGAATTAGTTATATCATCATCTTATCTCCATATACTTTTTTCCTAAAGGCCAAAATGCTCAAGCTGAAATCCATTTAGGCAAAATCAATGAAACCCAATACCTCAAGTACGCGATGACTATCATGCTTAAACAAACTTAGGGAGAGAAAGAAGCAAAGACGGCCATTCTGAATAAAATCAAGGAGTACCTGATACCTTAAATGAGCACACGATAAGTACAACGCAGAAGTGTGATCTTAGGAAGAGAAACATGCAAGACACGCTGACGATGAAATCCACTTTGGCGCAATATCTCACAAATAAGTAAATGATAACTACCATGCAGAGATCTCTCTTCATACAAAGAAAGCTCAGGCTGAAATCCATTTCAACAAAATACATGGGCACGGAATACTTCTAAGAACACAATAACTACCAGGCACAAGTACTCTAAGAAATAGAAACAATAAGAGAAAACATACTCACCGGCTCATATAACCCAATTCTAAGACCTCCAAATAGGCATTGTCGATGAAGCCCTGGTACAATACCTTTCCAAAGAGCCGTTAAACCCTCTTCCCTGGCAATGGTAGTCACTGTACCAAGCATGCCTCTGTATTTGGGTGCAGCCACTCCATCCCCTGCCACCGCTTTCTTCTGCAACTGAAGCCTAACTTTTGCTGTGTCTAAAGGGATGGTGCATATCTTCACAAATATAAAAATATTTTAAAAATTTGTTAGCAATTTGGTTATCGATAGAAATCATAATAATAATCACATTTCCCCGACATTTTGCTAGTATCTATTCAGGAAGCTAATACACATGTCCTGATCCTCCCAAATACTACAAATTTTATTAAAAATAAAATTAAAAAAAAAAATGAGTAAACCCCAAAATAGAGGGGAAAAAAGGGGGTACCACTAATTGATACGATGCCCAGTCTGTATTCCTTTTCTTTTTCATAAATATGATGCTCAATGTCTCTCTCTTTTCTTTTCTTTTTTTAGGAAGGTTAACTTAATATGATGCCCAGTTTATGCAAAACGATAATGGATTAAGATATAATTTTCAAAACCCAGACACACACATTCCCAAAAAAGTCGCAAAATAACTTGGAGAGAAAGGGGGAATAAACCAGGAGCCAGGAGGTGTGGGGAGGGGGGGCAGTGGGGAGAGACAGATAAAAAATTTCAGCAATTCAGCTAGGAAACAGAGAAAGGAAGCAACTTGAGCAAATGAAAACATTTTACACAGTAAACAAAACACCCAAAAACACAAGGGAGATGGAGAGAGAGAGTCACAAAATGACATGCGCAGTACAGAGGCAATTAAACCCATGAGTTAAACCAGTCCAAGTACACAAACATGGAGATCACAGCACAAATACCCAGAAATTCATAGGTATATTTCTCAAGAAATTAGAGAACCGGAGAAGGAAAAGGGAAAAAAATTCTGACTCAAATAACAGCAACAAATTAACTGAGCCAGCATACACAGATCAGACACATTTCTCAGCTATAAGAACAACCAATTTTTCTAAATGTTGAAAAATCGCCAAAAACAAAGGAAAAAATCTATATAGAGAGAGTAGTTTACTAGTGTTGGTACAGGCAAAAGAAAAACAAAGAGAGTGAGAGAATCACCTCAGCAACGCAAGCGGCGAAAGCACTACTAGCAAATCTCCCGGCAAAAGAGATCTCAGTCTTGGGACCATCGTGCGCCATTGAAGAAATGCTCTCCCTCTCTCTCTACCGAATTGAGCAAGAAACCAGAGAGAAGCAGTATAGGCTTTCTCTCCAGTCTCCCACTGATTGATACTTTTCCTTCCTCTTTTCCTAATGCCTTACTTTATGACTTAATATCGTTGAAACCAGTACAGAGAGAGGGAGTGACCTCTAGAGAAAAGGAGAGACCAAATGAATGCAACAACGGGTCGGGTCGGGTCGAGTCCAGTACGGACTCAACAAATATTATGGGATTGAGAGCTGGACCCGACCGGACTATTAAATAATCAAATTAGAGCCCACCTTAAAATTTTTACTAGAAGAGGTTGTTTTGATGCTCAAGTTTCCTCAAATTAATTATCTCTACGTCAAGATGCATGGACATGAGAAAAATAAATAAATTTTAGACCATCAAATTTCAAGTGATGGAAACAGTGCATCTTGTAACACATTTTTAGATCGTCAATTTTTAAGATTTTCAAGTTTCCATAGATCAGACTATTTTTTAAGCTTTAAATTTTATAATTCAAGATGAAAATATATTTTAATACTATCATAAAGATTTACAATATTGAAATTATATTTTTTGGTACTATTTGGAGGTAGGCTCTAATTTAATTGTTTAGAGCCTCCGCACTATACAAACCGCACCCTTTATATTTCTCATTTTAGGGGTGGCAGTGGACCCGGACCCTATAGCCATACCCGACGTGGGTCTAGGTATGGGCCCAAATTGGACTTGACAAGTCGGGTCTGGGTCCAAGTATTGGACCTTAACACTATTTGGGTCCGGATTGGGCCTAATTTATAAAAAATAATCAAATATAGATATATGCATAGGCAAATCGGGTCCGGGTTCACAACCACCCCAAAAAATGAGAAATATAAAAGAGCGACATTTCAATAGTAAATAATAAAGAGAAATATATATAGAGACCTTAAATGATAAATAATAGAGAGAAAAAAAAATAGAAGAGAGAGAGATAAATGATAAATATTAGAGACAGAGACAAAGACAATGACAACAATTGAAGACGTTCGCAAAATCGAACAAGAACGTTTAACCGGATATGGGTTTAACCTGCTTAATCGGTAAACCGGCCGAATCAACCATTCTAACCGGGCAAGTCCTAGGCAGTCAAAAAAGTGTTGAAGAAATAAAAAAGATACAAAAAACATACTAAAATATGAAAAATATATGAAGAACGATTAAAGCAAAATACATTTAAATGAAGTTGAAAATTAATGAAAAAAAATAGATTTTAAAGACTCAAATTTTGAATTAAAGTGAGTAATAATGACAAAATAATAATAATAATCTTTATCACAATGTAAAGAATATTAAA